TTTTACATACCGCAGAACACGCTTGAGCATAGCCCAATGCTCAGTGGTTGGAGAGTGCATATGCTGACAGACCCGATTCACGGCAAAAGAGAGATCCGGACGAGTAACAGTAAGATACTGTAGAGCCCCAGCAAGACTGCGATACTACGTGGGATCCGCATAGGGAACCACAGAATCAGAAGAAGGTCGGGACACAGGAACCGGAGTAGCCAACGGTTTACAGTCCACCATACCTGCACGGCTCAAAATATCTCGCATGTATCGCTGCTGAGAAAGAAACAAACCACCATCCTTGGAGACCGTCTCAATGCCAAGAAAAAAAGACGGAGCACCCATGTCACGAATCTTAAACTCCGAGGCTAAGTCGGTAAGAAGCCGAGTAACACACGAAGCATCAGACCCCATAACAAGGATATCATCAACATAGACAAGCAAATATAAACAAATAGAGGCACGCGTATAGATGAATAAAGAAACATCAGTCTTGGAGGGTGAAAAACCAACCGACACCAAGAAAGCATGCAACCTATTGAACCACGCTCGAGGAGCCTGCTTAAGACCATAGAGTGACCTCTGTAACAAACACACATCATCCGGCCGTGACTGGTCTTCATAACCGGGCGGCTGTCTCATGTAAACTGTCTCTGCAAGATTACCATTGAGGAAGGCGTTGTGAACATCCAACTGCCGAATGACCCAACCGCGAGAAACGGCTAAAGAGAGAAGAAGCCGTACGGTGGTGGGTTTGACAACAGGACTGAAAGTCTCAAAAAAATCTTGCCCAGCGACTTGATTGAAACCCTTTGCGACCAATCGAGCCTTGTGCCGCTCAATCGTGCCATCGGCCTTGCGCTTCGTTCTGAACACCCATTTGCACCCCACAACGTTCATGCCAGGTGTACGACTAACCAGACGCCAAGTGTGATTCTGGAGCAAGGCATTAAACTCAAGATCCATGGCCTCACGCCACTCCGGATACCGAACTGCCTGAGAATAACAAGTCGGTTCAGGAACAGTCATAAGAGCCACATGCTGCGTCGGTCCTTGAGAACGGGTTGCCATGACATGAGACCGAGGCTGAACAGGCTTCGCCGTACGGCGGCCTCGCTTGGGCGCAGTAGGAGCACCCGAGACCGCCCCTTCCGGAGCCGTAGCAGTCACGGTGCGAGAATCTGAACCAGCTGCGGCAGCCCCGGAATCCGCGTCCAACTCTGGATGAGGATTAGGTCCAGTGGGACAAACATCGGAGCCAACACCAACCCGAACGGCACCAACACCCCACGGCTCAACCGGGCGAGAGCTAGAGACCTGAGAAGGCATAGAAGAAGCAAACGGATATACGGTCTCATCAAACCGTACATGACGACAAATGAATACCTTGTTAGTAGCAGGATCTAAACAACGATAGCCACGAAACGAAGACGGATAACCAAGAAACACACACGGGGATGACCGATACTGCAACTTGTTACGATTGTACGGGCGCAACAGAGGATAACAGAGACAGCCAAACACACGTAAGAAGGAATAAGAAGGATTAGAATGATGCAAACGATAATGAGGACTGACATTGTCTAGAACTCGAGTAGGCATTTTATTGATGAGATAGACCGCAGTCTCAAAGGCATAATCCCAATATCGCTGTGGAACCGAAGCCTGAGCCAAGAGAGCCAAACCCGTTTCCACAACGTGACGATGCCGACGCTCAACTCTACCATTCTGCTCATGGGTATAGGCACAAGATTGCCTATGATTGATACCCAAAGAGACAAAAGTACGGTGCAACCGTTTATACTCTCTCCCTAAATCAGATTGTATAGAGACAATCTTACGACCATATGAACGCTCAACTAGTGACCGAAACTGCTCGAAGATAGCATACACATCAGTTTTTAATCGCATAGGATAAAACCATACATAGCGTGTGTAGTCATCAACAAACAAAACAAAATAACGAAAACCACTGACAGAAAGAAAAGGCGATGGGCCCCAAATATCAGTATAAATAAGCTCTAAAACATGCGACGTAGTAGTATTGACACGAGGCAAGGGAAACCGAGATGATTTCCCAAGCATACAAGCACGACATGACACCGAACTATTACTAAAACTAGAATCAATGGAACACGAATTCAAAATCTGTCACAAGACACGAGGATGAGGGTGACCCAACCGACCATGCCAAACGTCAGAGGAGACACGCGAAGCCACTAACGCAGCGGGACTCGAACGAGAAACAGGCCAAGAATAGAGACCCCCCGAAGCCTGCCCTCTATACAGAACTTCCCTGGTTGAACGATCTTTCACAAAGAAACAATCAGGGTGAAATTCAAAGAATACATTATTATCACGGGCAAACCGTTGCACGGATAATAAAGACGCAGAAAGCCCAGGAACAAAAAGAACATCAGACAACCGAAACAGTGTTTTAGAAGAGGCTACCGAAGACGAACCAGTACTAACAATAGGTAAACACTTACCGTCACCAACACGAAGATGATCCGTACCGTTATAAGAGACCGTCGAGGACATCAAAGACGGATCTGGGGTGGCATGGTTCGACGCACCAGTGTCGGGAAACCATTGCTGAGTGCTAACCGAAGCCGCATCATCCACAGGATACGCAACATGCGCTCTCGGCCCCGGAGCTCCATCGTACCGGCGAAAGCACGAAGCGGCCGAATGGCCCTCGCCGGAGCAGATCTGACACTGGACAGCCCCGGCACCGCCACGACCACGGCCACGCCATTTGCCGCGACCACGGCCGCGGTTGCCGCCTCCACGCTGCTGCCCGCCCGAACGGCCTCCACCTCGCTGAGCCGCCATGGCGACCGAAGCAGCAGCAACATCACCAGCTTCATCGGCACATATAAAAGCCTGCGAAACAAGAAAATCGGATAGCTCGGGCAGAGACACCGGAGCACCGCTTGTGAGCGACGCCACCAAAGGACGATATTCGGACCGCAAGCCTCGGAATATATACATATTCTGATCCTCTAGCGTCACCGGACGGCCGGCAAGCGCTAAATCCTCGATAAGCACCTGCGCACGGCCAAGATAGTCCGGGATCGAAGCATCCCCCTGCCGTAATCCTTGCAACTCGCCCACCAACCGGAGGGCACGAGCCCGTGTAGTCGAACCAAGAACTTGTTCGATTGCCAACCACAAATGCCGAGAAGTGGACTTACCGATTGCGAGGTGCATCATCTCGTCGGACAAGGATGAGATTAATAAGGAGAGCACGGCCTTATCTTGAGGGAGCCATGCACTCCGAGCAGCGGAAGACGAAGCCGACGAAGGCACGGCAGGAACAGCTCCCTCGGCAGGCGGCACGGCAAGCGCGGTGATCGGCGGACATACCGAAGTACCATCGACAAAACCCAACAACCCTTGGCCATCCAAGAACGGAAGAAGCTGAGTACGCCAAAACAAAAAATTGCGGGATGTCAACTTGATGGAGACGAAGTGATGCGCCGAAGAGAAAGACACCCCCGACTGCAGCGGTGCAACAAGCGCGGCCTCGGAAACGGTCCGTTCAGAACTACCAACAGAGCCGTCATCAGATCCGAGGTGCGCCATTAGAGAGAGGAGAGAGAAACCTGCTGATGCCAGATGAGGATACGATATATCTGAATGAATAATAATGAGTCTGTACAGGAGTATATATAGTAGTGAATAGTAAACCTATTACAAGACGAATACTAATAATAATAGGTAACGAACACTAATTACTAATAATAATAGGTAACGAACACTAGTGATGATAGAGTCCTAATAAAAATAGAATAGAATTGGTTATTAATAATTTAGCCTTATTTTACTATTAATCTTTAAGAAAAATTTTGCGTAAAAAAATGTAATAAAATCGGTTATTAATAATTTAGCTTTATTTTACTATATTAATCTTTAAGAAAAATTTTACGTAAAAAATTGTAATAGAATTGGTTATTAATAATTTAACTTTATTTTACTATTAATCTTTAAGGAAGATTTTGTTAAAAATAAAATAGAATTAATTATTAATAATTTAAATTAAAATTAAAGTACATATATTTTTCTATCCGCAATACAACTTTACTTATTATTTTACAAAATCTTTAAATAATAATTGCTAATATTATTGTTCAATTATAATAAAAACATTAATTGGTAATATATATTCTATATTAATTAATAAAAACAATATCCTCATTTACACGCTCCCGCCTAAGCCAAAACAATATAGAATAATATTGGGAAGGAAATTAATAATAATAATATGGAAAAATGAAATGAATGGAAGGAAATGTTAGTCATGTGAATTTTTTCTACACTCTGAAAAATGGAAAAGAATCAATAAGCAGTATAAGAAAAAAAAATCATTAAGATATTTACTATTAATCTTTTAGGAAAGATTTTGCATAAAAAAAATAGAATAGAATTGGTTATTAATAATTTAGCCTTATTTTACTATTAATCTTAAGAAAAATTATGCTTAAAAAATGTAATAGAATCGGTTATTAATAAGTTAGCTTTTCCTCTCCCACCCCAATTTCTGTTTGCCACAATGGCGACTCACGTGTTATTATGGTTATGCGCAGAGGAACAGGAGGAGGGCTTCATGGGATTACTTGAGATCACTTAAGGGGGCTTCTGAGTTACCTTGGGTGGTCTTGGGCGACTTTAATAATTTATTAGCCCAATCGGAGAAGAGGGGAAGATTACCGCACCCGAATGGCTTGATAGAGGGTTTCAGTGAGGCGCTCGAGGATTGTGGATTGTTGTCTCTTCCTATGATTGGTTATCCGTTTATATGGGAGCGGGGTAAGGGTACGGTGGACTGGGTGGAAGAGCGGCTCGACAGGGTGGTGGCATGTATGGACTGACTGGCTTGTTATGATAAGGCGAGGCTGTATAATATTCGTACAGATTCGTCGGATCATTCGGCTCTTTTTCTGGATATTTATGGGTCGGTGCATGCTGCTCGGCCTCGTGGTTTCCGCTTTGAGAACGCGTGGCTGATGGATGAGGGGTGTAGGGGAGTGGTGGAACGGGAATGGGCCGGATCACAGGGTTTGAATTTGCAGGCTAGGCTTGATTTGTGTGGTAAGGGGCTCAAGGCGTGGGGTGGGGACCGTCATCACAAGTTCGGTAAACGGATTGGAGAGTTAAGGAAGGAAATGGATAAGGTACGGGACAGCCGTGACCCTGTTTCGTTGGCCCAGTTTGTGCAGTTCGACAATAGTATAAATCTTGCTCTATCTCAAGAGGAGGCTTTCTGGAGGCAGCGTGCTAAGCAGCACTGGCTTCAGGGGGCTGATCGGAATACCAAATTCTTTCATAAATTCGCATCCCACCGGAGGAAGAAGAGTGTTATTGTGAAATTGAAAGATGATAATGGGGTCTGGAAGGAGGGTCAAGCTTTGGATTCTCTGGTCACTACATACTATAAGCAAATTTTTGCATCTGGGGGGTTTCCAGGGACTTTCAGTGTTGATTCTATGCAGGAACGTGTGACCGAAGCCCAGAATGCCCATCTGTTACGTCCGTTTGAGCCGGAGGAGGTCCGGGCTGCATTATTCTCTATGGGCAAGGATAAATCCCCGGGGCCGGATGGCATGAATCCCGGTTTTTACCAAGCGTTCTGGGATGTTATTGGTAAGGATGTCACTTCCTTTGTGCTTAATTGTCTTTCTCAGCCATCTTTTCCTGTATGTTTGAATGATGCAAATATTGTCTTGATCCCTAAAAAAATGTGCCCCTGAGCGTGTGTCTGATTTACGGCCAATTGCGTTGTGCAATGTCTTGTATAAGGTTATGGTTAAGATGGTGGCAAACCGTATGAAACCTTTGTTGGAGGGTATTATTTCGGAATCACAAAGTGCATTTCTCCCAGGTAGGTTGATCTCGGACAATATTCTAATTGCTTCTGAGGTGGGCCACTACTTGAGAAGGAAACAGCTAGGCCAGGTGGGGTGGGCCGCTTTAAAGCTTGATATGATCAAGGCGTATGATAGGATTGAGTGGTCTTTTGTGAGAGACATGCTAATGGGTTTGGGTTTTGATGCTAAATGGGTTCAGTTGATTATGATGTGTGTCCAAACAGTGCGGTATAGAGTTTTGGTAAATGGTAGGCCAGCGGAGGAAATTGTGCCTAAAGGGGGTTACGGTAGGGGGATCCTTTGTCTCCTTACTTGTTTATCATTTGTGTAGAAGGGTTATCTTTGCTTTTGCAGGATTCTCAGGCGAAGGGTCTTATTCATGGATGCAGGGTGGCCAGGGGGGCACGACCCATTTCGCATTTGTTTTTTGCAGATGACAGCCTGCTCTTCTTTAAAGCCAATCTGCAGGAAACGATGGAGGTGAAGAAGTATCTGAGTGTCTATGAGTTTTTCTCTGGCCAGGCAGTGAACTTCCACAAATCCAATGTCTCGTTTAGCCGCAACACTCACGAGGGGACACGAGAACTCGTTTCGGGGGCCTTGGCAGTCGCACAAGCTGAGGATTTTAGGAAGTACCTGGGGTTGCCATTTGTTGTTGGCAGGAACAGGAGGGCGGTTTTTGCTTATGTTGAGCAAAAGCTGAGGCAGAGATTTGGATCGTTGAATAAAAGGTTGCTGTCTAAGGCAGGAAAGGAGGTCCTTTTGAAGAGTGTAGCACAAGCCATGCCGACTTATACAATGAGTATTTTCCTACTCCCGACTTCTTTATGTATTTCTTTGGAGAGACTAATGAACAGGTATTGGTGGGGACGGAGTGGTGATGACGGAAGCATTCATTGGTTAGCTTGGGATAGGATGTGTAAATCCAAGAAGTTTGGAGGAATGGGTTTCAAGCGATTGCATGAGTTTAACCTGGCCCTATTGGGCAAGCAAGGATGGCGGCTACTTACTAATCCCAACTCCTTAATGGCACGTGTTTTTAAGGCAAGGTATTTCCCGACTACTTCCTTTTATGAGGCTATTATAGGTGGTAATCCTAGCTACGTTTGGAGGAGCATTATGGCCAGTCAGGATTTGTTAAAATCCGGTTGCAGGCGTAGAATTGGCAATGGAAGATCTACTCAGGTTTGGACAATTCCTTGGCTATCGGATGCCCAAAATCCTTATGTTGAATCTGAACAGGTGAATAATGGCCAGGCTATGTTAGTCTCGGATCTGATTGATGCCCACACGGGAAGTTGGAATGGTAATTATTTACATCAGTTGTTTAATCCACGGGATGCAATGCTTATATCACATCTGCCTGTAAGTTTGGATTATGATGATATGTGGCACTGGGAAGGGGATTTAAGGGGGTGCTACTCGGTTAAAGACGGCTATAGAAGGTTGGGTTTTGTAAATTCACAGCCTTCTCCTGTGTGGAATAATGTCTGGAAGTTACAGGTTCCCCCCAAGTGGAAGGTGTTTCTATGGAGAGCCCTCTTGAATAAATTTCCCTCGCTTGATAATCTGATAAATAGGAGGGTGGACCTAGTTAATATTTTCCCGTCGTGTGGCTTATACGAGGACTGTGTTTCGCATATTTTTTGCTCGTGCCCTTATGTTGTCAATGTTTGGCATATGTCTCAAATTCATATCCCCTCTTTTGCCAACAGGAATTTCTTGCAATGGACGGAGGAGTGGCTCGGTGGTGCATCAAGATTTAGTATTGATGTACAAGGCCAAATATGTGGTATACTCCATGCTATTTGGTCCGCAAGGAACACGGCAGTGTGGGAAGGTAGCTTGCCGACACCACTCTTGTTGCTTCGACGCCATGCGGCGTCCTGGACTGCTTGGACGAATTGTGAACAGCGCCGAGTTGAAGCTTGTAGTAGATACACTATACAGCACTCCACGGCAGCACCTGCTCAGTCCACACATGCAGCGGCAGCTTTCCATTGCTTCGTGGATGCCGGCTTCCACGGTACACATCATGCACCGGCTTATGGCTTTGTGGTTTTGGATGGAGACTCCTCTTTTGTAGCGGCGGCAAATGGTCCTTTGGTGTGTCAGTATGATCCTCCTCTAGCGGAAGCAATGGCGTTATATGAAGCCCTCTATTGGTTGAAGGATAATGGGTACTCAGGTGGAAGAATTTACACGGATTCATCAGTTTTGGTCTCTGGACTTAATGACGCTAGTTCGTTTCGCAATTATTTTGGTTTTACTCTTTTGTCTTGTAACCGTTTAATTAATGCTATGCCTGGAACTCTAGTTTGCTTTGTTAGTAGGGACGTCAATCATGTGGCTCATTCCTTATCTAAACATGTAACTGCAGTAGCAGGTCGTTCGTTATGGAGGGATATTCCTCCTGCTTTTATTCTGCCCATGGTGGCTAATGCAATCTGATTCATTTGTCTTTCAAAAAAAAGTTAGCTTTATTTTACTATTAATCTTTAAGGAAGATTTTGCTTAAAAAATGAAATAGAATCAATCTATCTATATATAATTAATAATAAAATCATCCTAATTCATTTTCTCGCCCAAACTTTTGTAGTAAAGTATTTGGTAAGTAAATCTCAAATGGAAATTAAATAAAATCTATTAATTCGTAAATAATAATAATAATAATAATAATAATAATAATAATAATAATAATAATAATAATAATAATAATAATAATAATATTATTATTATTATAATAATAATAATAATAATAATAATAATAATAATTCAAACAAAACTATATACAAATTAAAATTAAAATTAAAAAAAATAAGAAGAAGACAAAGGTGGCTCCCCTTTGTAAATGATGTGGGATCATTTTGATCCCACATTGAAAATGTTTGGAAAGAGGAGCTCTTGAGCTCCTCTATATAAGAGGATCATTACTCCTCTTACAAACATATAATTGTTTGGCCATCAATGTAGGCAAGTATTGAGAAGTTCAAAGACTTTTTTTTTTTTTTAGTACTATTGACCTGACAAATTATGCTGTGGCACCGTGTCCACCTAGCAAAGTAGACACAGTTCAAAAATTGTTTCATAGTTATGAATATATAGTTCTATAATTATAAATAAATATAGTGTTGTGAACATAATTATAAACATATACTTATGTAATTATGAATATAGAGATTCAATAATTGTGAATATGAAATTCAAAAATTATGAATATATATCCAAACCAAACGATATACAAACATTTATTACAATAATAATAATAATAATAATAATAATAATAATAATAATAGCATATAATCATTGAGTATTATTGACACGTCAAATTATGCTGCATGTGGAATCGTGTCCACCTAGCAAGGTTGACACGGTTCTAAAATTGCTCATAATTATGAATATATAGTTTAAAAATTATGAATATATAATTCTAAAATTATGAACATAGTGTTGTGAACATAATTATGAACATATAGTTATGTAATTATGAATATAGAGATTCAATAATTGTGAATATGAAGTTTAAAAATTATGAATATATAGCTTTAAAATTATGAACATATAGTTTAGTACTTATGAACATAGAGTTTTGTAATTGTGAATATAGAGTTCAATAATTATGAATATGAAGTTCAAAGATTATGAATATTTAGCTTTATAATTATGAACATATAGTTCAGTAATTATGAACATAGAACTGTGTCCACCTTGCAAAGTGGACATGGTTCCACAGCATAACTATTCGATTCATCGTGTTACGTGTAGTATCTGTTCATATAAACTTTCTCAACCTATTGAAGCCCAACGTTTCAAAAGGCTCTTATTTAAGAAACCTTATTTTAATGGCTTCTTATTTTTGTTTTTTTTTTAAAAATTTATTAGGTGGTTTGGCTAAGATTAACCCAAAAAGTATATGTGTTGTTTTAGTTTTTAGCAGTTTGGAGCAAATTGCTAAGTTATCAAATAATATTTTTGATGTTTTGATTAAATATAAAATGTTAAACAGACGAATTTTTTAAAATTTTAGAGAATTCTCCAAATAATGAAATTACAATAACAACAACAACAACAACAATAACAATAACAATAACAATAATAATAACAATAACAATAACAATAACAATAACAATAACAATAACAATAACAATAACAATAACAATAATAATAATAATAATAATAATAATAATAATAATAATAATAATAATAATAATAATAATAATCAAAACAAAACTATATACAAAATAAAATTAAAATTTAAAAAAAAAAACCAAAAAACAAAAAACAAAGAGGCGTCACAAACTCCTTTTGTAAATGATGTGGGATCATTTTAATCACACATTGAAAATGTTTGAAAAGAGAGAGCCCATCTATATTAGAGGAGCAAGACTCCTCTTACAAACATAATTACTTGCACATCAATGTGGACAAGTATTGAGAAGTCAAAAGGTTCTTATTTAAAAAGTTTTAGCGTTGTCTTCTTATTTTACTTTTTATTAATTAATTAATTAATTAATTAATTTATTTTTATTAGTGGGGGTTTGGAAATATTAACCCAAAATGTATGTGTTGTTTTAGTTTTTAGCAGTTTGGAGCAAATTGCTAAGTTATTAAATAATTTGGTTTTTTTGATTAAATATAAAATATTAAACAGACGAATTTCTTAAAATTTTGGTGAATTTGCTAAATAATCAAATTACAACAAAACAACAACAACAACAACAACAACAACAACAACAATAATAATAATAATAATAATAATAATAATAATAATAATAATAATAATAATAATAATAAAAATCAAACAAAACTATATACAAAATAAAATTAAAATTACCAAAAAAAAAAAAAAAAAAAAGAAGAAGAAGACAAAGGGGAGCCACATGCTCCCTTTGTAAATGATGTGGGTTCATTTTCATCCCAAATTGAAAATGTTTGAAAAGATGAGCTCTAGAGCTCCTCTATACAAGAGGTACAAACATAATTGTTTGCCTATCGATGTGGCAAGTATTGAGAAGTCAAAAGGTTCTTATTTAAGAAACCTTAGTTTTGTCTTCTTATTTTAGTTTTACTTATTTATTATTTATTATTTATTATTTATTAGTGGGGGTTAGGAAAGATTAACCAAAAATGTATGTGTTGTTTTAGTTTTTATCAATTTGGAGCAAATTACTTAGTTATTAAATAATATTTTTGGTGTTTTGATTAAAGATAAATTGTTAAAATGGTAAATTTGTCAATAATCAAATAATAATAATAATAATAATAATAATAATAATAATAATAATAATAATAATAATAATAATAATCCAAACAAAACGATATACAAAATAAAATTAAAATTTAAAAAAAAATAAGAAGAAGACAAAAGGGAGGGGCTCCCTTTGTAAATGATGTGGATCATTTTGATCTCACATTGAAAATGTTTGAAAAGAGGAGCATCGCTCCTCTTACAAACATAATTGTTTGCCCATCAATGTAAGCAAGTAACCTGGAGTGTGTGGTTGAGTGTAAGGGACTCATCTATCCTTAACTAAAGGTCAAAGGTTCGATCCTTGGATTTGGGAATCTCTAAGTCAGCTGTCACACCCAAAAGAGGGGCAAATTATGCTGTGCATACGGATAATTCCATAATGAATGAACAAAATAATGTTGTTACTAGGAATCGAACCTGAATTTTTTTTAAAGGGGAGACGCGCGTTTTAATAAAACGACGTCGTTTTTGCATCTGTATGCACCATGCATGGTGCATACAGATGCACAGCATAACTATTCCAAAAGAGGTGCTTGCAATTTAAAAAAATCAATGTGGACAAGTATTGAGAAGCCCAAAGTTTTTTTTTTTTTTTTTTTTTTGTGGTTAGAAATAAAGGAAAATAAAAATGGAAATAAAATATTTCAATAATAATATTTTACATCATCAAATAGTAAAGACATATTTTAAAAAATAGTAAAGATAAATTAAAAATGGAACGAAAATATTTGATAAATAATATTCTACATCATCAAATTAAAATGGAACGAAAATTAAGTAAAAATATCACTGCATCTATATTCTAATTGACTAATTGATTGGAAATAAAAAAAGAATAATTGACTGAAAATGAATCTAATATTACTAATTGACTGAAAATATAAAAAGAAATGAATATTAATAATTGACTGCAAATAAAAAATGATCTATAATTGACTAAAAAAATGGTCGATCATTACATTTTAATTAAAAATGGAATGAAAATTAAAAATTGGAGGAAAATATTCCAATTGTAATATTCTACATTATCAATAGTAAATGCACATTTTAAACAATAGTAAAGGTAAATTAAAAATGGAACGGAAATATTTCAATAATAATATCTACATCATCAATTAAAAATGGAACGAAAGTTAGATAAAAATATCATTGCATTTGATATTCTAATTGACTAATTGATTGAAAATAAAAAAGAATAATTGACTGAAAATGAATCTGATATTACGAACTGACTGAAAATATAAAAGGATAAATAATTGAGTGATATTTTACCATTATATATTTTTACCCAAGTAACCCGTCCTGATGGAGAAGATGTTAGCTCTAGACGTAGATGAACAAGATTGTGTTGTCAGTACCAATGTCGTCTACAATGAGGTTTCAATAATGTGTAAATATAATCGGTGATATTAATTATTTTTTTTAAAATGAAAAAATTGCTATATATCTAGACAAAAAAATATATCTTCTATACAAATGAATAAGGATAGCAATTCATTTCTATAACTGAGTTGTTAGAGAACGAGCACATTTGCCTAATGTATGAAAATACTAAACAATGATAAATAAAATCTTCAAAATTATAGGGCCGCATGCGTACATCTAGACATTAGCTATTAATTTGAGCAATTATTTGCACAAATTCAAGCAATGATAACATCAAAATATATAAATGATTCAAATCATATCTTTAATTACACTATATAATATTTGATGTTCTAATTTAAATAATTATATATCGATTCATATATTCTTAATATATAACAACAAATCCATTCCGTGCATCGCACGGGTGCAAATACTAGTTGTTTTTAAAAAATAAAAATAAAAATAATAACAATAATTTAATAAAAGAAACAAAATAAGTCATGCGCAAACCTATCACGTGAGATATAGAGGAAATAGAGACCACTAAATGGTTTGGTAACCCCTCCTTTTGACCAAAAAAAAAAAAAAAAAAGAAAAAAAAAAAAACATTGATGGAAAAGTGGCATTGGAGCCTTGAGGCTCCTATAAAAGAAACCTTAATGCTCCAATTTAAAAATTAAGCTTGCCCATCCGTCGTTGATGGGCAAGTAGTGAGCCAGCGAAACTGGCACTTATTATTCAAGTAGTTGAAACTCGAAATGGCTTTGCAGTAATTTATTTTTTTTTTTTTTAAATATAGAGGTGTTTTGGAGAAATTATTCTCAAAAACGCTAAGTGAAAATATTGTAAATTGCAATGTTTGTATTTTCAGTGGTTTGGAACAAATTGTTGCTTAAAACTGTTGAATAACCAAACCATTTCTTTAACATTTTGATCTTTGGGTTACATCATATTTACCAATCATCCAATATCTTTGAGTTACATTATAATTAAAAATTACTACATCTAAATTCCTTAAATTAGGAATTTCTTTATCCATAATAATTTATTCAATAATAATGGTTGAACTAAATGAACACTGAGCAAAACACCTAAAGAACTCGTACCGTTGATTCATTCATCGATCTTGTATATATGTACATTCATTAAATATATTAGAACTCTTTGCAACAAAAATACTTTGATTACTATTTAAAAAAAGTTTACTAACAAGTATAATGAATCTCCTATATTACATTGAATTCATATACTATGAGTTACATATTTAAATAAACAAATTCGACATTAAATTACTTTTGTATGAACTTCTCATATATAATCTTGCATTGATATACTTTCAAATATATATTTAATTATAAATATTCGGCATTAACTCATTCGCGCAATGCGCCTGTAAAACTAGTGTATATATATATATATATATATATATATATATATATATATATATATATATATATATATATATATATATATATATATATACTAGTTTTTTGACGCGCTTTGTGCGAATGAGATAATACCCAATGATTATTTTCAAATAAGTATTTCAAAGTATATGGGATTCATCATGCAATGAGATTATGATGTATGAATCTTTAGATTTGCCTTGCTATGTATATGACTGCATGTGATTTTATAGTTGTAATATAAACTCTTTATCGTACAAACACATATTGATATTTAGTAGTGGTAATTTTTCCCCTACATGTTTCATGTGTTGTGAGATGTGTGTGGTAGGTTATCATGTGAAAGTATTGATCAAAATATTAATATTTATTATATTTGTATAAAATACTTGGTAAATATATATAACATGTTTTGTATAACTTTGATATTTAATTACAAAATAATATAAAAAGAGACAATTGACAATGTAGTGAACAGGGACGGAGCCAAAGGGGGGCAGCTGCCCCCCCTCACCCCACCCCCACCCCCACCCCATATATAATCTTTGTATGTATGTATATATATATATATATATATATATATATATATATATATATATATATATATATATATATAGGTTTATATTAGTATAAAAAAACTAGTAAATGTCCACAAGTAAGGAGTTAGATTAGTTTTGGGTTCAAATCCTTGCATTAACATAGTTTTACATATTTTTGAGTCCTTCTCCTATGACTTCAACACAATCACTTTTTTAATATTTATAATGTGTTTTCTATTCAAATTATTTTATCAAATTAATTATCTTTCATATTTTGTTATGAATTATTTTATAAAGTTTCGATGTGTTTTATTTTTCGCATTTATTCAACAATATTTACAACTATATTTCTTAAGTAATGGTTATAAAAAAAAAATCCTTAGGTAATTTTTTTTAAATTATCTTTTTTTTTAATGTTTCGCTTTTACTGGAAAAATTTTTTGAATCCGTCATACTTCTTCGCCCCCCCACCCCCCCGCCCCCCCCCCCAATCCAATTTTTGGCTCCGTCCCTGGTAGTGAATATAATAAATTACTAAATTTGAAGGTAAGGAATCTTTGAATTGTAGAAAATAGAGATAATATAACTAATTAAATTATATTTCTTTAATTTTTTTTATAATGAATAAAATTTTTAAATAAAGCATTATAGACATCTTATTCTAAATTAATTAAACGTATATGTATTATTTTTTGTTGTAGCTACTAATTTTTTTTAATTTAATAAGAGTAATAAAGTGTCGTACATACTTTTCATCAACAATAATGAAATTAATGATTTTTTAAAAATTTTCATTCCTTGTTGAGACAAATTGTTTTGAGAGTTTGTCAATGAAAATTGCTACAATTGCTGTCAATAGATGATGATTATAAATACTTCAAAATATATGGTTACAATATATATTGTTATAATGATATAGTAAAAATTAACTTCATTTTTTTTAGAAGTTTCCATGCATTGATAAAATTATGATGTGTAAACTTGTTCAATTGGAGCTAGTAGGATGTTAACATTGTCAATTATTTGTATTTATGATCAACAACTTTGTAGTTAGGCCGCGCAGGTCTGACAATGATGTAAGAACAATTTAATTTGTCCGATAAAAAAATAATAGTATAATATTTGTAAAGTAATGTACAATTGTACCATTATAAAAAATTCAAAAAATATTAATACCATAATGACCTAAATTATTCCAATAATGCAAAAGCATAATTGAAATATTAAGTTTTGTTCTAAATAATCAAAAGAACATTAATTAAACATATATAATAAAAACTTAACCTAAATTTGTTTCTTTAAAAAAAAAAATCAAGATAATCAAATGATTTGTAAAGTTTCTGATTTATAATCTTTGATGCTCAACTTTGAATGCTATGTATTTAGTCGGGCTAATTATTTGATAAAAGTTTATATTAACTTTTATATTATATATTTTTTTAATACATTTTAACATATTCAAAATATATGTTTAACAATATGCCAACTCTAATTGGGATGATGTTCGAACCTAAGACCTTTTTTTATATAAATTAATGAGTATGTTAAGAATAATAAATAGTTAACGGAATATTTCGTTACTAATGTTTATACTAACGGAATTTAGGGTTATTTAAGGGAAGAAAATAATATAATAGAGATTAAATAAGGAAAATCATTAAAAAATACAAAAATCAAAATAATATGAACCATTCATTTTAAGAAGCAAGTACTAGACATTGGCTTAACATTATTGGCTCTTATTAGATTTGTAGATTTGTGGATTTGTAGATATATATATATATATATATATATATATATATATATATATATATATATATATATCGAATAAAGTTCAAATGCGGCGGGATTCCAGAATACACCAACAGTGTTAACAATATGCACCAACAGTGTAAGAAAAAAACACCACAATGAAATGCAATAAAACATCACAAAATACACAACAGACTCAAAAGAATACACCATATAACTGACCACACCCCCAATGATGTATTTCCGAACAGTGTATGGTGTTTTTACTCACACCTAATGGTGTGTGTTTGGTGATGCGGGGCTCTGTTTACTCTGTTTTTTGTGGTGTATTTTCCTAACGTTGATGGTGCATATTTGTTGAACTATTGGTGTTGCCGCACCGCCGCACCGTAAGACACTGCCGCACCTGAACTCGCCTATATATATATATATATATATATATATATATATATATATATATATATATATATATATATATATATATATATATATATATAGAATTAGGTTCTGGTGCGGTTAGATTTGTGCTTAATGTGAGTGGAGTTTGTGCTTTATGTGCGTAGGGTTTGTGCTTAATGTATGTGAGGTTAATGACAGTAGTTGTTGAAACTTAAGTCTGTGAGTTAATACTTAGAGTGCGTGAGTTTTGTGCTTAATGTGCGTGAGGTTGTGCTTAATGTGCGTGTGTTTTGTACTTAATGTGCGTGGGTTTGTGCTTAATGTCAATAGTTGTTGAAACTTAAGGTCTGTGAGTTAATACTTTAAAGTGTGTGGGTTTTGTGCTTAATGTGCGTGAGGTTGTGCTTAATGTGCGTGAGTTTTGTACTTGATGCGCGTGAGTTTGTGCTTAAGATCTAACACTTTAAAGGTGCGCCATTTTTAGCTTATGCTTCTTACTTCCAGACACGTGTTTTTTTTATCTAGATTTGATCAACGGCTCAGATCTAACCTTACAACTGCACGGGAAACTATACCCGCACCTAAACCCTTCCATATATATATATATATATATATATATATATATATATATATATATAACGGAAGGTTTGTTTCTCTTTCTATTGAATATATGATACTATTTTTTAATATTTTATGACAGAAAGTTCACCTAGCTAATCACATACTAGTCATGTTAGAAAACTGATGATTGAAATTGTGGTGTCTGTACTTTGACTTATGTATCTCTCCTAATAAATATTTATACTTTCTGTCCAAACCCACCTTCCCCACAAGTATCTAGACCATTTTCATTACAAGCCTTGAGAAATAGATAGATACATAGAGAGAGAGAGACAGAGATGGGAAGAGCACCATGTTGTGACAAGGAAAAGGTGAAGAGAGGGCCATGGTCTCCAGAGGAAGATGAAAAGCTGAAAGAGTACATAGAGAAGAATGGCCCTGGAGGAAATTGGATTGCACTTCCACAAAAAGCTGGTATTTATATATAATGCTTATATATATATATATATATATATATATATATATATATATATATATATATATATATATATATATATATTATATATATTGAATTTCATGAAATTTTTATTGTGATCTGATGCATGTTTTTGTTGGTCTTGCTGGTGATCCATGTCTGGTTTCCATGCTAACTAATGTTGATAAATAATTAGGGCTGAGAAGGTGTGGAAAAAGCTGCAGATTAAGATGGCTAAACTACCTCCGACCTAACATTAAACATGGAGATTTCTCAGACCAAGAAGATAGAATCATTTGCAGCCTCTATGCTACCATTGGTAGCAGGTACTACCTTTCTCTACTTCTATTACATTTTTTTTTCTTTTTTTTTTCATTATTTCTTGGAAAAACAAATAAAATTACAAGATATACTAGAATCTCCAACAAATCTGGTTTACCTGCATGCCAGGACAGATGAAGTTTCTTATTCATATTTTTACAATATAAAACAAAAATCTCATCAACTAATTAAACAAGAAAAAGAATTAGTTATCTCATGGATACCATGTTAGATAGATGAGAAAATATTAAGTATTTTTGATTGTTTATTTATTCATGAGGCCATGAGGGGTTCTTTTAGTTTGTAATATATAATCCTACTTTGACTTCAAATAGAGACTTCGTATTTAAGTTGGGGTTGAACATCTATTTTTGAACTAATTTCAGTGGTGATTTTAAAGTTGGGCTTGAGTGCCATGTGTGGGATCATCATATCAGCTCTTCATTTTTAAAATTGAAGTTGCAGTTTTGGTCCTCTACTCTAGTGATGAACATAAATATAAGACAACATTAAAGTTCATACAGATCTTAATATGCGTTTTAATTCTTTAGATATTTTCTCTTGGGCGAAAATGACTAAAGTTTAATAAGGAAATATAATCATCCTTATGTTTGTGTTCTTAGGAAGACCAAAACAACCCTAGTCTTGCAAAGTTGAGAATATATTTTGTAATTTGTAGCACAGGTGGACCAAAACGTACGACCAACTATGTATATTTAAGGGGGCAAAAGTATTTATTTTCCTAAATCGCTTACGCACTTTCTATCTAGTCTTTATTTGCATTTTTCAAGTTATCATGAATTTTTGTTTGAGTACTACTGACTCTATTACAATTTAGTATATATCCATACATATTTCTGTGACCTCCCATTTAAAAGAGTCACAAAAGTGTCATTGAGTTACAAACTACTTAACAAGTTATCATGAATTGTTTGATAGTATCATGAATTATCACATTTTTCTCTTTTAATTCCTTGATTAAAGTGTGCACGGTTAGTTTTACACACACACATATATATATTAATTCTCCCAAAAGGTTAATTGAATCCTCAACCCTAAGGGGCCCCACACACCCCGGCCGTTGACTCAGTAGACATGGTCAAATACTCCCAAAAAGTTAATTATTGAATCCCCAACCCTAAGGGTCCCCACACACCTCGGCCAGTTAACTCAGTAGACATGGTCAAATACTTGTGCACACAAAGGATTTGTCACTTTGGCATAATTTCACACGGCCGCCGTCAAGGTTCAAGCTTTAGTCTTTTTCTCCATCCCCAAATACTGCCTAGTAAGCTAAGTCTGTGCGGACTGAAATAAAAACCTCTTTCTAACTAATAGTATTAAACTCAAATAAATTGAATTAGTGTTTTCTTGAATGTAATGTTTGGATTGTATATTTAATTTGTTGTTGAACTGTGGTGATGGGGCATGGAACACATTTCCAATACAAGAAATTGTATATGTGAAGTGCAGGTGGTCAATAATTGCAGCCCAGTTGCCAGGCAGGACTGATAATGACATCAAGAACTACTGGAACACAAAGCTCAAGAAGAAACTCATGGGAATCATGCTTTCATCTTCATCTTCTCCTGACCAGAAAACCAGACCTAATCCTCTTCCCCCATCAACAATCTCATCATCATCACCATTCAAATGTAGCAACAACTATAATTATTACCCTATAACTGATCCTACTTTCCCACCACCATATGCTTCTACTACTACTTTCTTGAACCCATCTTCTAGCTCATCAGCTTCAAACCCTGTGGGCCCCACCATCCAAAGTCATCATCTGTTGGTCAAAGGTAGGCACCTCGAGTTTAATAACAATGGAGGTGATCATCATCATCATCATCATCATCATCAAGCTAGCTGTAGCTCTTCTGATGGGAGTTGGAGTAACCAGATTATCAGCCAAGACAAAGAGTATGGTTATGGTGAGAGCTTAGGTCTGCAAAGCTTTGGCTACAATGGGGTTGCAGAAAACCAGCAAGCAGTCAACAATGGTGGAAACCCATTAGATTATAGTAGTCTGGAGGAGATTAAGCAGCTGATTAGCACTAATAACGTCAGCCAGAACAGTTTCTTTGTTGATGAGGAAAACAAGTATGAAGAAAAAGTCATGATGTACTATTGATTGATCTGATGATATATGGATGAGTTTTCAGTGCAGATCAAGAAGATTTCAATTCAAGGGGATCCCTTTTTTCTTTTCCTTTTTAATAGTACTTTGAAGATTTAAATTTGCGGTAAAAATTGTCACTTTTTTATATAGGTATGTAGATTCCATTTCTCCTGTTTTTGCATTGGTGCATTTATTTTTGGCAAAGGTCATGTACCAGTTCCAGTATTGCTTTGACTAGGGCTAAATGCTAATAGAGATGATCAAATGTCTACCAAATCCACTCAAATTCGCCAAAATCTACTCCTAAAATCCAAAAGGCTGAACCCCACACCCCGACGACAGAGCATGCTCACTGTGCACAAGGAATCCCCTCACTTTGAGAGGTGGCTCCCACACTGTGGCTGGTGAAACTCAATCCCTGGTCATTTTTTCAAAGTTTCACCTCTATGACCAGTTAACTGCCCATGCGAGTCCTAAAATCGAATACATGAAAAGTGGATGGGATGCGGGTCTACTAAATGAAAATCCACCACTACTGAATAAAATGAATATGTGATTTTTCAAACTCTACTATATCCAATCTGCTATAGAAAAACGCCATATATATATTTTCAAATCGAACATCCATTTATATGATAACATGGGACTAGTCTCCGTCCTTGATCTTGGTGTTTCGTACAATCCTGATTTTTTATGTTTTATTGGCTGATTTATTTGTGTGTATTTATGTAGGGGTTGTTCAGTAATTTTTTTTGCATTTAGAATATTTATTGTTATTATTTTTGGTAAAATTGAATTCTTGCTTCCTTTTCATCTATAAAGTCTCCCCTCCGAGCATACAAATCGGTGCTGAAAGCCACGCGGGAGAGTCGCCGCCGGAATCGTTAATCCACAGAGTGTACGAGGCGCCGATGGATATCTGGGTCGGGTGTTGGGTTTCATTCTTTTCAAAAAGTTGAATCCCAACCCTAAGGGTCCCTCACAATTCGGGGTGTTGGATTTCATCGTCGTTGAGCGCAAATTATGCTGTGCAACCGAATGCACCTTGCAAGGTGCATACGGTTGCAAAACGACGCCGTTTTAGTTAAAAAAAAACGCGCGTCCCACTTAAAGAAGAAATCAGGTTCGATTCCCGGCAATAGTATTTTTATATATCCAGAAATTCATAACTATATAACCACAATTTCATAACTATATATCCACAATTTCATAACTATATATCCACAGTGAATGAATGAAGTAAAAATCCACAATGAATGAAGTAAAAATCCACAATGAATGAATGAAGTAAAAATCCACAATGAATGAACTAAATATCCACAATATATGATTGAACTAAATATCCACAATGAATGAACTAAATATCCATAAATTCATAACTATATAACCACAATTTCATAACTATATATCCACAATTTCATAACTATATATCCACAGTGAATGAATGAAGTAAAAATCCACAATGAATGAATGAATGAAGTAAAAATCCACAATGAATGAACTAAATATCCATAAATTCATAACTATATAACCACAATTTCATAACTATATATCCACAATTTCATAATTATATATCCACAATAATGCTATTGCTGAGAGTCGAACCTGATTTTCTTTTTTAAAGTGGGACGCGCGTTTTTAATCAAAACGACGTCGTTTTGAACCGTATGCACCATGCGCATGGTACATTCGGTTGCACAGCATAACTATTGGTCGTTGAGACACTAATACAGAATTGCATATTCGCTACTATTGTCAAGAATTTTTCGTAACCGTATGTTGTACAATAATTGCATATGTTAGGGTCGCGAAAAGCCTTGAATTTTTCGCAATTGCTGTGGAATAGTCGTGGAAAGGTGCGTCATTAATGAACGGTTGCGGTTTGTTTTGTTTTGTTTTTTTTTTTTTCGTACGTCATCCGCAACCGTTCTTGTCCAAGAACGATCACAAATTGTATTTATTTTTATCTTTGAAAGAATCATCCGCGACAATTCTTCTCTTGGAACGGTAGCGGATGGTATTCTTTTTTTTTTTTTTTTTTTTTTTTTAAATCATTCGCGACTCCTTTAGGTGAAGAACATTTGCATATGATTATAAACCCCCATTTTTTTTTAAATTCATGTATCTCTTACCGCTTAAAATCCATATCAATAATTCAACACAATATAATTTATCTATCAATACACTATATATCAACACAATATTATCATCAACACAAATACTATCAAACTACCACATACTATCAAATTAAACTAACAGAATATTATCAATACAATTTTAATACAATAATTTCATCAACACAATACTTTTTATCAATTCAATATTTTTAACACAATAAAAATTTGTCAACACAAGATAATATATATTTGAGAAGGTATTTACTTAAAAATTCTGTAAGATATATTAAATATAATATATATATATATATATATATATATATATATATATATATATATATATATATATATGAAGAGAAAATTACACTTTTAGTCCTATGACTATAGGAGGCGTGTTAATTTTGGTACATGACTTTTAAAACTAACAATTTAGTCCTTTAACTATGCTTTTTTTTAGCAGATTTGGTCCTCCCGGCCAAATGTTGCCGGAAAAAACGTAAAGCATTTTAAATTATTTATTCATAGGGGTAAATTGGTCACTTCAAGTCTCTTCTTCCTTCACCTGCTGGCTGGAGTTTGTCTCATTGCAGAGTTGATTCTTCCGCCTCGCCTTCCCTTTCCTTGCCCTCTCCGGCGCTCTCGATCTGTAGGCGTCCATTATATTTCTACTCTCAGAAGTCAAAACCATCAAAAGTGTATTCATCTTTTGATCAGTCAGTTTCCAGTTGCCGGAGTGAAATGCCCAATCTGTTCTGCAAAAATAATCATACATTCTCTACCATTTATGATCCCAATCTCTCTTCTCTCAGACTCAACTTCCTCTGTCAGGAACTATTGCCAGAACACATCGCTCCCTCCGATGATGGGCACGAAAATAAAGAAGCAGATTAACAATAAAATAGTGATTGATTGTCGATCAGTTGCGATTGATGATTATGAATCGTAAGAAATGAAGAAAATGAACACGACAAATATGCAGGCCATATATTAATATATAATGTATCTATAGCTATCCATAAAACTAGTAATACTTGATATTCATTTAGAAGTAATGAATAATTTCAGATGAAATCCCATATATCAGTAGGCTTTTTTCAAGACTACAAGCAGAGGCGAAACCACATGGCGTTTCCCGTCAGACCATATCAGCTTTCCCAACTCAGTGACAAACTTCCTTGGCATCACCACCAACACCTCCGCCGTAATCTCAACAACGAACTCCTGTTTCTGACCCTTTTCCATGAAATCAAGTTGGGTCGGAGTTATCTTCGCCATTGCACCATTTGGGTTCGTCACCGCCACGTTGTATGTTGATGCGCCCTCACCGACATAGCTCATCGTCCTCGTAGCCCTAACCACCGTCGATGTCGGCGAGGAAGCATCGATCACTACTGAAATCGCCGGATAGTTGAGATCCCAGGGCGGTTTCCGGTGTTCCCCGGGACATCTAACCGCCTTCTGAGCAATATGCCGCAAATCTTGGGCAGTATAATTAGAGGAGTAGAGAAAGTTGAGGTAATCGTTGGGGGTAATATCGTAAGCTAGTCCTGGGTGGACGACCTTTTCCAGGCTTACGTGGCTGGCTCCCATGTCCCAAACGGTGGAGATGTTGTAGGATTTCTCGTCCATTATTGGCTTTCCTTCCTGGTCTTCCATGTTCAGAGTTATGCCGACAAAAAGAAAATTAAATCCGGCGAAAGATGCGGTCGACGAAGCGACGCCCGAATCAATGAATTGATCAAATGATTTTCCCTTAAAAAATACGTGAAGGGACTGTTTTGCCCCCATGAATAAATAATTAAAAATGCTTCATGTTTTTCCGGCAACATTTGGCCGGTGATTTGACCGGTGATTTGGCCGGGAGGACCAAATTTGTTAAAAAAAGCATAGTTAAAGGACTAAATTATTGTAGGAACCGTTGGTAGGAAAACAAATAATAATCAAATAAAAATGACTATTATTTTCTGGAAAGAAGGGAAGAAGAGATGAAGGAAAAAGGATAGTGTTTGGTGTTGGGTTTTTGCAAGAGTTGAGTGAGCACTCTTTCCTTAAAACCTTATTTGCCACATCCCAAAGATGCTAGGAGCGTTGTGGCCTAGGCTTCCCAGGATAAAACTTGCTAGTGATTCAATGTTTGAGCACTCAAACAAGGAATCCGGCAAGCAAGACACGGCTATGAACACAGTATAGCTTAAAGAAAGAGTAGAAGCAGAGAGATTTTGAGGCTAAAAGATGAACTTTCGTGTTCTATATTTTCTGTGTAAAACTCTACTGCCTAACTCCTCTTTATACAGGGGTGAAGGATTTAATAGCTTTTAATTAGGCACTTAAGGGCACCCCTTCACCTTCTTGTAACAGCACCATTAGCATGGCCTTCAATTCAAAAATTAAAATTGGAATTAACTCAGAAAATTAATTCCGTAACAGTAGAATTGATGAGCCAACGGTCAGAAAACTGCACAGGATCGTGTAGGCCGAAACTTAGGCCGAAACTGGAAGTTTCGGCCATTGGGCCCTTTCAAGTCTCGGCCCGCAAGGCCGAGACTTCAGGTTCGGCCAGAGGCCGAAACCGCATGCTTCACTGGTTTCGGCCACCACAAGGCCGAAACCAAGGTGTGGCCGGCCAGAGGCCGAAACCGCATGCTTCACTGGTTTCGGCCACCACAAGGCCGAAACCAAGGTGTGGCCGAAACTACCTACTGGTTTCGGCCACTAGGCCGAACCATGGTGTAGTTTCGGCTACATCTTACAGTGGCGTGTTGGAAAATGATAGTCCTTTTGGCATAACTTGGCTCGCGAGGCCAGCCAATTTCCGGACGACATGCCCGCAGGTGCCGGCGCACACGAGCTCGGGCTTGAATCAAGCCTTTTCAATCTCTGCTAGTTGGAATTTGATTTGCACCCCCCCCCCCCTCCCCCCCGCGAGAGAGCCTCTATGCTATACAATTCTACAAGCTTCAAAAGAGCTCTTGTATATAAGGGGGGAAAATCTTCATTCCAAAGCAATGTGGGACAAAAGCTCACTTTTTCCCTTCATTTTCCAACTCAAATGGGTCTACTTTGAGAATCAATATCTCATTCACCCAT